TTTAAAATAAAAGGTTGCTTATTTTATTATATTGGCATGGAATTTTACAATTCAGATTATTTTAAATCCATTAAACTAATTAAAATGTCTAATATAATACATACAATTATTAAAAAAATATATAAAAAAGGCGGGAAAACTCATTTTTGGTTTCGGCCTGTCAAATTCTGCTGCTGATGTGCGTTATGGTGCCATTATTTTCAGTGGCACCCCAAACACAGTGTGATCACCTGCACTAGAACGCACGGTACTGCAATGCCATGCATTTGGGTGTGATTGCAAAAAAATCTGCATGCAGTCTTATTCTGATGTAAACTTTATATTTGTAACACTCCATTTGTGTATTTTATTTAAAATAAAATATGGTATTTCATTTTTTTTTTATCCAATTAATTGAAAAAAATATTTGTCTAACTAATTGATTTATGAAAATAATTGTTAGCTGCAGCCTTACCCTGAACCAAAAATTTACAGTGCTGATCTTCTTGCAGCGAAAACATTTATAGGGTTAAGTATACAAAGGTTTTTGAACATGATTCCAGATGCTTTGAGAAGATATGGTGCACTTCGGATCAGTTTCAGGCATTTGGCATGTGTTTAGGATGCATTTACATTGAGTTATCTGAAGAATGAAATGTATGCCATGCATGGCAAAGGCAAAAAGAAACAATATGATACTGCTTTATACAACGTGAATTCGGAGTTCAAATTATCCATTAAAGATTCTTCAAATATGTTTTATAGACCCAAGTCAGAAATAAATCAGACACTACTTGGTACAATCCTCTCTAGGGTTATTATTATTACATAGTATTTATATAGCGCCAACAGTTTGCGCAGCGCTTTACAATATAAGGAAGACATTACAATCACAATACAAATCAAGACAAGATGGTAAGGAGGGCCCTGCCCCTGAGGGCTTACGATCTAAAAGGCAGGGAGAAGTGATACATGAGGGAGCTGTGTGGGGATGAATTGTTTGAGAACGTGATGTTTGAGCGGTTAAGTTGAGGCGGGATAGGCTTCCCTGAAGAGATGAGTCTTTAGGGAGTGCCTGAGGCCCCATTCACACTGAGCGATTTATCCCGCGCTATTTACGGCGCGATATCGCTCTGCAATGCATGGCAATGGGGCTCTGTCCGTCGCTGCCGCGGGTCGTTCGTCGCTACAGCAGGACCCTTTTTGGAGTGGATTTTGCCGCGATTCTAGCTTGCTCAATGCAAGCATTTGCGCGATATCGCGCAAAATGCAAATCGCGCGACAAACGCGCGATTTGCGAATCGCTCAGTGTGAATGGGGCCTGAAGGCAGTCAAGGTGGGTGACACCTTGGTAGGGATAGTGTACACATCAATTGTTGATCAGCTGTACAGGTACCCATAGATTGTATCATTTTAATGATGTGTTTGGTGATTTTATATATAAAAGAATGCAGCAAAAATATAAGAAAATTGGATTGTAAGAAAGGATTGTAATTTGTGGCTAGCTTTACATCCTGTAGCTTTCTCAATGTCATCCCGTTCTCCTTTCCTCCGTAATCCCGCATTTCCAGCCCCTGTCACTGTTCCTTCTTGTCTTTAATTTGTTAGGTCTCATGTTCTGCTGTCAGGAATCGAACAGACCTATTTCCCTCTTGAGCCTGCTGATTAGATTTTGGCTGTATCCGTAGTGTTTCTCGGCCTCTCTTAACCACTGCATCACTCTTCCTGGCCATCTGTTCTCTGTCCTTCTTGCTACATGTCCTACTCATTGCCATTTGTTGTAAGCATTTCATTCCATACTATTTTTAACTGGACAAGTTGTAGCCACAGGCTATGTGCAGAAGTATCGCAGCAATGTCAGCAACAGTGATAAATTGAAACTAAGCTTACGTCCCTTATTTCTTACATAATTACTGTAGTTGCCCTGTCAGTGCCAACATTCTGTGCCTTAAGGGGAACCTGTTGTCAGAGAATAATGGAGGCTGTCATTGCCAAACTCTCCTTTTGAAAATGCTTGTTCCTTGGCTGGCGTTTTAACTTCAATGGTGCCTGAGTAACTGACCCAGAACAAGTACAGAGACATTCATTTACAGCATGCTTGTTCCAGGTCAGTGAACATAAATCATCCACAGCAAGGCATCTACCATTTTTAGAAGGCCAGCAATGACAACAACCCAGTACTTCTCACCACAGTGTCACCAGCGCATTGACAGTGAGAGTTGGAGTTAAACAGGCATTGTGCATTGATGATTATATCATTGTTACTGAAGGGCAATTCGACCCAAAACCACTATATCTGGCTTTGGTAGGACGCAAGAGAATTAAAGCACCTAATAATTTCTTTGGGACGGTGAGGTAACTGCGTCTGATTTTCCAGGTCTCCGTCGTTGCTGTTAACTGACCCAACACATTGTCAAGGTTTGAGGTGTGCTGTGTTAAGACAGTTTGTAAAGAGGTTTAAAGGGTATTTACGGTCAAAAACTAAAAACAAATATGCATTTCTATACTGAATTTCCATAAGTTCTATCCCGATCCTAATAAGCATATCAATCCAGAAGTGTTAACCATTGTTAACTTACTTATTGAAGATGCCCATAGAATGTACTTAATGCAGTTACACAATTTCACTCAGCTCTGTAACTATGCACTGTGTGCGTATCACCACTCTAACTAACCCTGGCGTCTGAATTACAACTCAACATTTCACCTCTACATAATGTAACATCATCATTGCTTGCTGGAAGTGATGCATGATGGGATATGTAGTCTTGAGACTTCAAGATTGCATCACATCAAGCAGCAGGGAAAGAGATGCAAAGCACACTTCAAATCCAGGAAGTGGCTGAAAGAGATGGGCAGATGGAAGGCAGCACTCACACATAAAAGGGATTTTCATGCTTTGATTGCATTATCGAAAATAGCTCTAGTATGTATTCCTATTATAATGCTGATGTTATAACAGGATAGTATATGCTGGGACTTTCCAACTCCTTTAAATAATCCTATGTATGTATTGAAACTTTGTTTTCATCTACAGTTTGTAATAATGTAGGTATGTATGTAGTCAGAGCTATATTTGTAGATTATATATGCAGTTACTGCTTCCTATTTAGAAGTGCTGTACAAAATGTGAAAAAAATTACTTGCTGACAGCACCCCTGTCAGCTGGTGTAGTGGTCCGTACACTGGACTTCCCAGCCCCACAGTCCCCAGCGCAGAAGAGGTCATAGGACCATGCTCACCAATGAGCGTTCGCCATTTGCAAGCATTATGAGCATTCCATACTTCATTTTTCACCTTTTGTGAGCAAGTGAACTTACCCTTTAACCTCTTGCCGTCCGTCCGTTGTAAAAAAACGGACGGACGGCATTGCTGCATTGGCGGGAAGTTAAGGTGCTTCTTAGGCGTGGTTCACACCTGAGCGTTTTTGTAGTTGTAACCGCGAACTGATTGTGGTTGTAGCCGCGAACATGCGTATGTGGTGTGAATGGATCCTAAGTGTCAACAACACAAAAACATTGCAGGATTAGTTATAGTCTGCTGGGTTTAAATCTGAAAGTGTACATGAGATTGTCTGTCCCTTTTAATTTCGAGAGCTGAGCATGTGGCAGAGTGTACTCTTTTCATTGTGTACTGTCAGCTAGCAGGTTAGACATCAAAAAACCGAGATGTCAGCTGTTCACTGTCAAAGATGATTCCAAGAAGGCCAGATTGTTTTCCAGCTCACACAGGATAGTTAGAATGAAGAAAGCAACCAATATGTCAATTTGCGTCATTGTCAAATTTGTGCTGGCAGAGACTGCTCAACTTAATCTGTTTGAAGTAAATTGGCTTTGTATTTTGCTACCTGAATTGGCACAAACATGGTCAAATCTTGTGCCCATGCAGTGGATTTATCAGCACTATTCTTACTTCACAGAGACTGGTACTGCAAGACAAGATTAAATGACCGGTTTCTTGAAATGTATTTATATAATTCTGGATCAAGATGCATCAGGTTGTATTATGCTTGCCTGTTAAATTGCCCCCTTTTCTGAGTCAATAATAATGTTATCCACCATGGCAGACCACTGCTTGCATGGCACGTAGTTTGAAAACTGGGGTGCTAGTGCCGTGTGAACAGCATCCACGCGGTGTATAGCCCAGTTGTTGTTTTATAAATTAATCCCTATGTGAATCCAGACAATTTGGCCTCATTGTCATGTCCTATAAGGTCCCGACTTTGGATTCCTGCAGCAAAAGTCAGCGGATTCCTACTGCTGAAATCAAAGGTGGTTGCAGACAGATGGGGCCGGGAAGTCTGTACAAAGCAATGTAGCTAAGCAATGACATGCTGACAGACGCCGTGGCTAAGCAATGACAGGCTGACAGACGCCGTGGCTGTCCACCACTGTTCGCATTCATCTGCACATTCAGTAGTTTACAAATGACTGACCCTGGAGGCAGTCTGTCTGCTTCCAGGATTGGTCATCTGTCCCTAGCCATAGATAATCGTGGGATGCGCGATACATGTGCTCATACTGATTTGTGGGGGACTGGTAAGGCATGGTACAACTTTTCTTCTAATAATAAGAACAATTAGGTAAAAGTTAGGTTAAATATTTTAGAAATCTTAGCCATTTGCACTGGTATAAGTAGTACCATGTCGCCTGCGTTCCTGGCACAGCGAATGTATTGATTGGGACATTTTGGCTGATTTGTGACATGTCTTTAATCATCATTGACTTGTGTAAGATTTAGGACTTGATATAGAAGTTCACTTATTCATTGTTAATGCTGTTTAGCTGATGATGCGTTTGTTCTTGTAATCACACTCCAGTGTCATCTGCCCTTTATTTACGTGCTGACAGCTGTTAATATCGTCTTGTGGGACCTAACAGGCTACTGTCAAATAAGAATTATTGGATATCACTTTACCCCCCCCCCAGGCATCCTCAAAGATACTGGCCCTGCTCTCCTTGTTAGTACGTTGGTGTAGTTTGTAAATAGTGATTTCAATCTCATTCCTTTTCTCCGCACAGGACAGCACATGCACGTGCAAAAGGTGATGCAGCTGACCAAGCAAGTCAAGCAGCACGGCAAGAATCGGATATTGCAAGAGCAGTAGCAAGAGAGCTGTCCCCAAACTTCCACCAGCCAGGTATGTGTACATGCAAAAAACCTTTTATGTCATAGAAATAAAATACAACAACTTGGACAGTGCAGCAATTGTATATGTGCAGTAATTCCATCAAATCGGGTTTAGTTTTTATTGGCCTGGTAGCGTTTTTTCTTGCACACATGGCAGTCTGCTAACAAAGTCCCTATAGTTGCTGATTTCCTCCTAATTTCCCTAAATCTTCCTAAACCTAAATGCTTCAAGCACTGCCATGTTTCTCTGAACCATCTATGCTCCCATGCAGACGTTGGAGCCTGAGTGGGGAGAGTCCATAAACCAAAATCATAGTACAGGAGGCTGCAGTCTCACCCAAAATGGCCGGAGAGAAGTTTGCTTATGTGTTGGCAATCTAGTCTTTAGAGTAGATGCAAGCCTTAGCTGGATATTATTTAGATTGCTAAAGCAGTGTGTATCATAAACCATTTGTTTTATTACAATTATGATTTCACTTTTACATCTCAGTGCTGCTGATCTCCTCCAACTTCTTTCAGCTACCTTCTGTTTCTGTGCACTTGCTGCACAGTCAGCTGTCCATCACTGCTCTGGACTGGTTTCCTGATGGTGACAATGGTGGACCATGCTTGAGCAATGTGTGTCAGCATGGCGGCTTGTAATCTCCACCCAGGTTGCATGTGAGACAGTTGTCACCACATAACAGGAACTGCCTGAACAAGATCATTCATGACAGGCTTACCAGGTATTATTTTAATGAAAGTTACAGATTTAAAAATAATAAAAACAACCTTTGCATTACATTAGTATTAAACTCTAAGTTAACTCTCAATTATTATTATTATTATTTTTCAATTATGAAAAATATTATTGCCCAGCAACATTTTTCTTTCAATTTTTGCCCAAGCATTTACAGTCATGTTTCTGAACAGCTGGCTACAGCTTTCTAAGCTCTACTTCCCTGAACTTCCTCTCCAGTTCAAGTTCACAAGGGACAGAGCAGTCTCTAGAAGCTGTCCATCTACTAGCCTGGAGAAGGGGGGAATTGAGAGCAGGGAGCAGAGGAGTACCCTGCCTTGCTTTGTCTGTGTGTTTGTGGAGACACATGGCTTACTAGCACGCACAACAAAACTTTCATACATCAAGAAGCAGCATCCATTGTAAATGATATAATCAGCAATTTGACTTTAATTTTACTGTAACATGTTACAGCTTATATGTGATTTTAGGCGGGAGCCTTATAGGAGCGGGAGGGCGTTTTAAGACGTCCTGCCCCTCCCCCCGTTCGTGTGTGGCGAGTGGGGAAACTGCTAGAAATGTAAACAGCCAGCAATGGCTGTTTACATTGAACCGATCTGGTGTCTCTTGAGACACACCATCGCTTGTAATAGCTGCGGGTGTGCACCACTCCAAAACCGCCGCTGCCGGTCCCGAGATGGGCTGGGACCGGCACGGCGACTCTGATACAGGAGATCAAAGGGAGATCTGTACACGATCTCCCTTTGATCTACTCTCCGGTCCCCGAATGCATGAAGTGATGAATATGACATCACTTCCGCATTCAGTGTCACTCTCCGGCAACAGATGCCGATGAGAAGCTGATGAAGCAGATCTCCAGCTTCTCTGGGGGTCCCTAGGTGACATTAGGGGACTTAGAGACCTCTGATGTCTCAATAAAGAGGACCTGTCATGTGAATTGGCTATCACATAGGTGTTCTCTTAGCCCCCTATGTGATAGCAATAAAGTTAAGTGTTACAGTCCCCCGCCCCCCTCCCCCCACAAACATGCTGGGTGCGCCTATGTGCGAAAACGACGATTGCGCCCATTACACCGCACATGTTACATATCGCCGCAAAAGTCGGAGTGCGAGCAATAATTTTAGGGCCATTAATTACTGATAACATTAAACTGATGGTAAAAGCGTTTAAAGTGTCGTCTATGGCCAATTTTGGGTGTGGTTTGTTTTCTGCGATTTTCGCAGGCACGCACAATTTTAAGGCTTGACATCTACCTGACCTGACCCCATATTTTATATTTTACAAAAAAGTTGGGGTGATAATAAATGTTTCATAACATTTCATAGGGATACCTGTTTTTTTTTCGAAAATTTAGGGTACTTTTTTTGTTATGTAGTGAAAAATAAAAACCCTGGTGGTGATTAAATACCACCAAAAGAAAGCTCTATCTGTCCCTAAAAAACAGTATAAAATTTGTTTCAGTACAGCGTTGCATGACGGACTAAACGTGAGTCAAAGTACCGCAGCGCTGAATACTGAAAAATGCCCTGGCCAGGAAGGGGGTTGAACACCCTGGTCTTTAAGTGGTTAAGAAAGCTAAGACTGACAGCCATTGACGAATCCATGCACACACCGCTTTGACCAGCTTCTGAAAGTTGCCAGTGCATTTGTGTCATAGGGTTTGGCTAAAAAAGGAGTGGATTTTTGCTAATTTGAAATAAATATTTTTCCTCTATGCCTCCCCACTGTAAAAACAAAAGAAATGGCTTCACATGGTCCCTGGTCCATTGGTAACAATGACTCGCTCACAGTGCTCACAAATATCATCATAATGCTTCCTGATGGCAGCATTTGTTTACTGCATGGTGTGCAGATACACTAAGGTTCATTGTTTCTATTGTCTCACTTTCAGGTTTTAATTAGGCCTTTAATTAAGCTTGCCAATGTGGGTACATTGTGATCTTTTATAAATAGCAAGCTTTGGCAGGAATTAAAAAAATCTGCCTGCGAGTGATGTAGCAGGTGAAAATTAACATTGTTCCTCATTAAACGCACAGCTTCATGTTACATAGAACACATTATTCATTCATCTTGGTTGCACAGTCATTGGCATCCTCTCAGAGTTGCAACAGAATGGGCCTGAAAGTAACTGTCACTTCAGAAGAAGAACAAAAAACTTTGAAAAAAGGTCAAAAGAAGACCCTTAATACTTGTGCCTCCAGTCGGTGGTGAGACCCATTTTGCTGTCTTCAAGAACTTCGGCCTCTGGCATAAACTTCAGCATCCGATGCTTCTGGGTGTTGGATGTCTGGTCCCCTGCCACGCACCGTGGTTTCATTGTTGACACCTTCGGCAATACAGGGCGCCATAGTCATGTAGAGGCTTGCCAGAAGTGTCAGATGCCGAAGATGCTTCTGGAGGCCGTAGCTCTTAATAGCAGAATAAGGATTCACCTTTTTTTATTTAAAGCTACAGTACTTTTTTTTTTTAATAAACCAATTAGTGGCTTGCACACCCCAAATAAAGGCCGGAATTGACAGTACAACCAGAACAGATACCAAAAAGGAATGCCCACATTTTCCTGGAGGTTAGGGACAGAGTCCGAATTATTGATAGAAAGTTCACCATGTTGCAGTTTCCAAGAATATAAGAAAACTGACAGTGGCTCAGCCCACAAAGCTCCACCTATTTCTAAAATAGCAATTTTAGATTTGTCTTTTTTGGAGCATCATCTTATTATGCTGACTTGAGGTTCAGGCAAAAACTGAGAAATCTGTGGACACCTTAAGACTACAGCAGACAAAAAGAGAATGTCTACCAGGGAGATGGAACAGGTATCCTAAGTCAAGGCAGGCACCATAGGCATCTAGAGTGGAGATGCACACTGCTGTAGGAGCATGCATGCATTTGAATCTTCATGAGTCCGCCTAATCCCACCTCACACAGATTCTAATTGGCCAACAAGGCAATACATCATGGTGGGCCTGTAGGAAAGCAAGGAAGGGAGATAGCAAAAGTGTGGAGCTTACCCAAGAGTGTGGAGCTTTGGCCCTTCAAAACAGCCTGGCGTTTGGCCTTAGAGCTGCAGGATGTATATGTAGGCTCCTTCTAGCAGCTTTCTTTTTTCTTTTAGGTAATGGAGCCTCCTACAATAAATTCTCAACATTACTTTTATTTATAGGAACATGACATACATTAAGGCTACCGAAGTATTGCAGGGGATTGGTAGCCAAGTATGCAGTCAGTATGGCTTCACATGACACGTTAATGGCATATCCTGATAGGTAGTCTGTAATGTATGTATTATACAGAATAATGTGGCCAGAGTGACCAAGGATATGTATTCGAATAATGCACAATTTGCATTTTGTACTGTAATGATAAAAAAAGTCACTTTGGAGTCCTGCAACCTCGGCGGAAGCACTTTCTGCTGCAGTTCTGGGCTTTTAAATAGCCATGGACCACTTCCCGGACTCCTAACAATTTTATTAACTAATGAAGAGGGTGCATTATCCCTGGAGTAAGAAGCAGATGTACTGTGCATGCAGCTTGTTTGTCCAGACTACCTGCAGTTCCTTCAGGAAGTAAATGTTTTGCCAAGTTGTCAGTTTCGAGAGCCAGAAACTGGGAACAAGACATTATTGTCTTGAGAAAGAATGGTTCTCTCCTTGCATTGGCTTTATCAATTACAGTGAATTATCAATGCAGCTTAATAATCCACTCCTTCCCTTTTACATTTTGCATTTTGTGTCTGATTATTTAAAGGATTAGAGACTTCCATTCTCAGACACGATTGATGCCATAAAATACAAAGATGCTTTGTGCAGTGACAACTCGAATAATAAATCTCTTCTAGAGAAAATTGCTTTAGTCTTTCTGAGAAATAAACCGCTCTTTCACTGCACACAAGTCTCCAGTGTACTAGGTGACACTAAAACAAGTGCTGCATACCATAATAGGCTTTACTAGTGTCCAGGGGGCTCACAGAGTACAGTAGGGTATTGAATATGATATTGTGTGAAGATTTTATTAATAACCGTTAATAGAATGTGACAGCTTGTAAGGTCACAGAGAGGGATTTGTTTAAGCTGTATTGCTCATAAAATGTTGTTGTAAGACATCACTTTGTAGCAAGATGAGTGGACTCCATATTCATTATGAGATATTTGCATTGTGTACAAAATGATTTGACACTATTGTGGTTTGTATAAAACCTTTTAATGATTACTTTAGTCAAAAGCATGAAAGTATTGTATTTTAGCTCACTCAGGGCATCTGTCTTACCTGTTGAAGGGCTCCCGTATTCTTCTTGCCATTCATCTTGTACGTGCAGCTGTCCTTAGTTTCTAGTCCTGAATTTGAAATTACACATAACTTTGAACAAGAGATTGCACAGAATTAGTTGAACAGAGGTTGCATAAATATTTAGGTGCTGGGTTTTTCTGCTATACTTTTTTGTCTCCATGTGCTCCAACAAGGACATTACAAAACTGTCACTGTCTCAAAGCTACATGCCCCTGTTACATCTCCATTCTGTTATGGAGATAACACAGAGGGGAGGAACCATCGCTTGGCTTTGTAATGCGTTCAGCAGGTAAACAACACTTGGAATTCTTCTGGAGATACTGATTGCATTTGATTCTACTGACAAAAACCAGCAGTCGCTTGCCTTTGCGTGAGCCTGCTCTGTACCCTCCATCTACGTTTTTTCAGCAGTGTCTTCCTACCTTCTAAACCCCAATAGGGTGACACAAAATATTAAAAGGCAATTAAATCTCTCCTCAGTATCAGCCCTTTGGGGATCTTGACAAAGTGAGCTCATGACTGTTACATGCAGTTACATCTCAGGATGGGAGTGTTCTCACAATAAATTGAGTTCAAACATTTATGGGATTTTTTGGGCTTTAACCCTTTCGCTGCCAAGCCCTCCGGAACATTTTTCAAATCAGCTGGCCAAGCCATTTTTGAATTTTCTGCAATTTTTTCCTATTGATTTGATTTTCAACTGCTGCGTTGCTAGCGTTTGTAAAAGACCCCCCAAACCATATATTTTCTGAAAGCGCAGGCCCGGTAGAATAAAAAGCTGGTGATACTAAATTTGTAGGCCCTGCGATAATTGCGCAAATGTTTCTCAAATTAATATTAAACCGATAAAAATACACAATTCAATTGTTAAAACACACCAAAATCAGTATCCGTGCACAAAAAAAAATATTTTTTGACTAAATCTAAAAGATAAAACTGTATTGAGTTAATAAATAACAAATATTAGCAAATTTGTAATTGCGCCTTTTTGCGAAAAGGTAAAAAAATGAAGGTATGCAAAACTGTAAATAATCGACTTATGTAAAAAATTGTTTTGGTGTTTGT